TTTAAATTATAATTAGCAATTTTTAAATTTGTAATTGGCAATTTTTTTAGTAAAAATCAAGTCATAGTTAAATTGTAATAGGATTTTATCGAATTGTAATCAAATTCAAAATATAAATTATTGAGTCCTAATTAAAGTCAAAAAAGTTGGGATTGGTACTATAGTTCTTGAAGGAATCCAATACGATCACATTTGATCATTGGAATGCATTTAGAAATTCAAAGAGTGTTAAAGAGCCGTACAAGTTATGTTCCAAATTCACACAGAAAACATTGAAATTTTCATAAGACTATTTCTAGAAGAATTGTTACCCTTTGAGTCAGATTTTCGAAATATTTTGAATCACCTCAATCGAATATCGAGAGGAAATGTTATGATAAAAATATTGACGACTATTAAGCTGCTGCTCTCCTACTGCTGGCTTGGCGGTCGAGCGGCAAGTCGACGTTTAGAATCTGTTTTGCTTCAAATACTTGATTTTTTAATCACTTTTCATCTCAAACACATTTCTCTCTATATATATCCTACCATATGAACGTCTAAAAGTGTGTTGAATCGAATTTATTCTATAGAGATCAATTCTTTGATGATCTAAAACATTCATTGATTCCAAAATTCAACCATCACATATTACTTATCCATAGATTCTTCCAAAATATATTTTGTTGATCAAGCCACATTGTTTCATATAAAACCACAAATCAAAACATATAAAATCTATTGATTAAACGCCAAACTACATAATCCACCGAAGATAAATCAACACCAGGGATCGACGTCAGGAGCACACAGTCCGGGAAGGTTAAGATATAAATCAGGAATCGAGATTTGTTTTGAAGGAGCACACATCTAGTAGGATTAAGGAAGACTGCGGGAATTGAGATCATAAGTTCTGTGGTGTAGATTAGTCTGAATCGTACTGTAAATTTGTTTCGATTTATAGTGGATTACTGATGGCAAAGTGCCCGGAATTTTTACTCGGTTAGGATTTCTCCCTGATCATCTTTGTTGTCTTTAATGCTTTAAGTATTAATTGTGATATTCAAATTTAGGATAAATTGACTTGTTTGACTAATTATCTAGAAACAATTAAAAAGTGACTTATTGTTTGTCCATACATGAGTCTAAATAATTTGAAGCTTTCATATACAAAGGATAATACTTAGCCCTTGTTTGGTATAAATTAAAATCTGATTTTAATCTCAAGTCAAAGTCAACAATTAATTTTAACTACAAATTCCAGGGACCCACAACTTTTCAACCACACATTTTATCAACTTTTATTAAAATTTACTAAAAATCTGAATTTAATCTACATCCAACAAGGGCTTATGTAAATGTGATCTTTGACCTTTTTATTTAAAATAGTAATTAGTTTAGGAACACGTTTGACACGATTTTAAAAAGTTAATAATTGAAATTAAAATATTAATTTTAATTATATTTGAATAATGTTGGGTTATGAACACCACATATCTCCACATTGGTATGATATTGTCAACTTTGGGCCTAGCCCTCATGGATTTGCTTTTTGGATTTACCACAAAAGGTCTCATACTAATGGAGATATTTGTCCATCCTTATAAACCTATCATACTTCCCATGTCTAACCGATATAGGACACCTTTTACTCCCAACAATCCTCCCATCAAACGAATGACCACATCATTGTGGCCTCCTCTCAAATGATAATTCATCAGACAATCATCTTGTACCGTCATTATTGTCGTAGCTCTCGACCAAACGGGACCCACCGCCTGACCACCATATTTTTATGTCAGGAAGATTTTGGACACAAAGCACCTCAAGCGCTGATGATTTATAGTCAGACCCAAGGCTAATTAGGGGGGGACCTCCACCACGCTTTCCACTGCGTTCCTCTGGCTAAGTTTTTGGGCTCTAGGCTCTGATACTACTTGTTGGGCTATGGACACCACATATCTTCACATTTGTATGATATTATCCACTTTGGACCTAGCCCTCATGGATTTGCTTTTGGGCTTTACCCCAAAAGGCTTCATACCAATAGAGATATTTGTCCATCCTTATAAACTCATCATACTTCCCATATCTAGCCGATGTGGAGACTTCTTTTACTCCCAACAAATTATCTTTTTAAAGTGGTTTGTCGGGTTAGAGAAAATTTTAAAAAAATTAAAAATCATTTAAGGTATTTTTCTTAGAAAATTCTTCAACGAGAAGCAAAAATTAAAGTAGAAGCTCAGGTCACTTGATTTTCATTGTCTCTACTTTTGTGCAGTGAAGTCACTCAACTCCTTTTTGCTTGTGAATTTGGACGGTTCATCCATTGCCGTCACTAAAATATGTTGAAAATGAAAGGAATTGTTAGATTTACAAGCAAATCAATGTTGATGTTATATACTCTAACACAATCAACGGACGAGATAATTAATGATATTTTCTCGAGTAATGTTATTTATCTCTGTTAGAAATGATGACATTGTGATGTAATTATACAATTAGCAAAGTGAATCTCGTATTCGTATAACGAAAGAGTATCTCCAATGAAGATAAATATCAATAGTCTATTTTCTTGGACTATATAAAATTAAAAAGGTCATAAGCCAAACTACCTTTCCAAAATGTATTTTGGGTAAAGAATGAATCTCAAACAAGTTTTAGATGTAGAAATTAAGTGCCTGTTTGGCACCCTTTTTTTGTGATTTTTGAGGCAACTCCCTATTTTTCTACAGTAATTTTTAGAGTTTTCCTGTCAATTTCCAACAATTGTGGGCCCAAAGTCAGAAAAGTAGGAATGTGGAACTGACTCATCACAGTTTTGCCGGTTCATTTCAATTATCCAAAAAATGACATTTTCATTTTTGCCCTTCTAATTGTTTTTTTCATTTCCTAATGTCTCAAAAAATTTCGCTAAAAATAAAGGGCAAATTAGTCCAATATTTCAACGGAATTATGATTCTGTGCACATATCTGACGGGTATTCAAATGTTGACTGTGTTCTCTGACAGTTATGTAGAAAAATGAGAAGTTGCCTCAAAAATCACAAAAAAAAAAAGGGGTGCCAAACAGTAAATTTGATAGGAATTGATAACCGAAATTAAAGACTTCCCAAAAAGACTTCATTGTGCTAAATGTCTACCACAATATCAAGCCGTACCATAAAGCATATGCAACTTGGTATACTATTTTCGTGTTAGATCACTTAATGAACTGAACAATTCATAATTTATTATGAATATATTATCAATTTATTGATAAATAAGGTCAATGCAGTACTACGATATCAGTCATGGTCCCAATATATTATTAAAACTCGTGGACTTTATTTTATAGCTAGTAACCCCTTTGATTACGGAAAGCAGTGGTATAAGTCAAACTTAATATTATTTATTATATTTAATATATTTTATGTTCATCTTTTTATTTTATTTTAATTTTTATGTTGAAAGATTTTACGTAATTTGACGTATTTGTTAGACGAGACCTAAAAACTACAGTATTTAATGGTTAACCACACATACGTAACTGGCGAAAGCTTCCAACAAAGCCATCTGCATTTGGGCCACTATACTATAATTATTGGCTTGTTGGAAAAAAAAAATTATGTACATGTAATACAATCGCTTTAGCTATGTTATAATTATTGGCTTGTTGCAAAATATAAGATGGACATGTGCACGTTCGTGTTCGTGTTCGTGATGTGATTTACACTTGACACCATTAATGAGATGAGGTAATAAATAATATTTTCTGTGGATATAGAAAATTGATAGGTCCCCTCCCTATTGAGAATGAGTACGTCTATGTGTCCGGTGGATCGATCCGAATATTTTAATACTCAGAACTACCCATTATGCTTCGAATATTTCATAAATGGAATAATTCAAGTTCTTCTAATTATTGGAATCAAACTCAAACCCAAACCATCGGTTTCAATTTGGGTTCGATTTTTGTAGATAAACATGCACAACAGTTAAGTCTTTGTTTAATGGGAATTAAAATCAGATTTTAATATAAAAATTTGATAAAATATACGATTGAAAAGTTGTGGATCATATATTTAAAATATGTGATTAAATTTAGTTGTGAATATCTTTTTGTTTGAAATTATTAGTTTTTTGAGAAATATTAAATTAAATTGTCATATATACTTAAGGATGGCAATTGGTCAAGTTGAGCCAGCTCTCCACTTAAACAGCCAAGTTCGGCTCTTGAAAAAAAAAATAATAATAAAAAAAAAGGTGATGCCAACTTGACCCATAACTAGTCTGAAATTTGTTCAAATCGTCCATAAACCAAATCGAGATGATCATTTGTCACTTCTATCTATGAAATTAATATTAATAAAATTTGAAGAAATAAAGAGAAATGCTATATATACTGGTTGTTTTTTGATAGAACGACGGGTGGTAGCACCTCGTTGGATTTTGGACAAAAAAGAAAAAAAATTAAATCAGCAAATGAGGTGCTACTATCTCAACACCTGTAAATTCATCTGTAAAAAATATTTGTACAAATAACATTTTTGGAAGATAAATCTCTTCAAGACATGAATATTCTATATATTTATATAACCGTATAATAATCAGGATTAAACTAGTTGTACACTCTAGATATACATTAAATTTGATATTCTACGAGTTCTCAAAATTCGTGCCATTAATTGTTTAAAATGTCGTTAAAATTAATGTGAAAAAAGTTGCTCAAAAAAATAAATGTCAAAACTTAATATTAAAAAAAATGTACATGTGACATGATTGAAATAATAATACATAAAACAATAATTTAGAAACGATCAAAGACACAGCTGGACGGGTGGGTGCCACCTTTCATGATAAAGACGGAACCGTAGAGAATAGAACCGAATCGCACAGCATTTTATTTAGCCTCTTTCAGGTAAAGCGCAATAATCACTCCCTTTTCTCTCCGGTTCCTACCCATTTTTGTCTTCTCTACAATTACCGACCAGTATTACTATTTAGTTATTTGCGGCTGGGAGTTCAGAATACAGTAGAAGAATGGCGGTGGAGTATGAATGTTGCCAAACGGAGTTTTTCATTCACATTCTTGTGATTGTATTACTCGTGGTTTTTGCCGGCATGATGTCGGGGCTCACTTTGGGACTCATGTCTCTCAGCCTTGTCGATCTTGAAGTTCTGGCCAAATCAGGCACTCCCAAGGACAAAAAATATGCCGGTATAGTTTTTTTCCTAGTTTTGTTGCCTTTTTGGATTGAAGTTGCCCATTGATTTTTAAGCAATTAGTATTTCGCCTCAGTATTCTGGATTTTGTTAGAAATATGGTTATTTCACCTCAGTATTCTGGTTTTGGTTCAATAGAGTTGTTGTTAATGATTTTATGGTTTTTTAACAGTAAGTGCTGTGAGGTCATCAATATTAGTTGTTTTGAGTAGAGAATTTATCAGATGCCTCCAGGGAACTATAGCTGGTCTGAAAGTATTTTCAAGTTTGAGATTTCTTAGGGAATTCAGCAAATTGCTGTTGATAAACAATGATATACGTAATGAAATCTTAATAACCTGAGAGTTTTTATGGCAATACTACTGGAATTGTGCTGGCAGCCTTGAGTGGATCATATGTTATTTAGTCATATACTTACTGTCTAGTGTCTACTGTGATCTCCTTTGTGCGTGTGCTACATTGGAAAGGTTGCTTACCTTTAGCAGTCATGACATGATTTTGCAAAAATTCAATTGTTTTTGTTACTTTGAATAAATTGATAGTTGAAATTGAAGTGGGAGGTTGATTGGTAATGTTAGTGAGCATAATAAAGAAAGTTATAAAGATGATGAATTGGCTCTGGATTATATATCTATACAGATTTTAAATTTGTTTTAGTTGAGAATCATATTGATTGGGCATTTTACGTATGCATATTTACTCTTATTGCAGCAAAGATATTGCCAGTGGTCAAGAATCAGCATTTATTGCTTTGCACCCTGCTCATCTGCAATGCTGCTGCAATGGAGGTAACACACTCAAGATATTACGCTTAAACAAATTTATGAAATCAGATAAGATATGATATATTTGGCATTTTTACTTTCAGGCGCTTCCTATTTTTCTTGATGGTCTAATTACAGCTTGGGGTGCTATCCTGATATCTGTGACATTAATTCTACTGTTTGGTGAGGTAAGAAATTTATATATAATAACTAGATGTGGAGCCTTTGGTTGCACAGGACATTCCCGTACTTTCACATGTACGCAACGACTCCTTGCTAATGATTTTTCCATTTCTCTTTCTTGAATTGAATGTTTGAAGAATTTAGATTGTTGATGGATGTCATAAACTATAAACCTATTTTATTGGAACTTTTACAATATTAATGGGAACCGAACTAGTGGGGCAAGTTAGCATAGAATTTTTTTGGTTGAATGTTAAAATATTAGAACACAACGCAGTTTTAAATGACTAAATCTGAAATTTAGGTGATACACAACATTGGCTTGATGTTTGCAGATTCAGAAGCATTACCAAGGTCGCTTGAGAATGATAACAAACTGTTTGCAGATTCAGAACTAGAAAAGAGTTCCATTGGCTAAATGCCTAAATAATTATGATGGAGTCTGGAATAAACTGATTTCGAAATATATTTTTATTATTTGTTGAAGCATCAATCCACATAAAAGAGCTGAATAACCAAATTTAGAGAAGCATTACCAAGGTCGCTTGAGAATGATAACAAACTGTTTGCAGATTCAGAACTAGAAAAGAGTTCCATTGGCTAAATGCCTAAATAATTATGATGGAGTCTGGAATAAACTGATTTCGAAATATATTTTTATTATTTGTTGAAGCATCAATCCGCATAAAAGAGCTGAATAACCAAATTTGATAGTACTCACTTGAATTGTTAATGACTTAGATTGAAGAGGAGGTAATGATATTGTGCATTTGAATTAAAAATGATAATGAAAATTTTGATGAAGAATGTGCTTAGATAGAATTGTTGAACATTCTGCCTGCAAGTAGAATGCAAATCATTTCTTCACATGAATGACGAAATTGGGAAAGTAACTAAATTCCAAGGTGCGGTGGAATTTTTGGATACATATAAAGTTAAACAAGGATTTGAAATCATCCAAAAAGATGAAATTACTGATTCGATAAGATTGACAACCACCAAATAAAGTAGCACATTCACTACAATCCAAGTAATTCGCATATTTTGTTGGCATATTGGTTGGATTGTTAAATTCAGTAATCATCCTGATGTCTTTATTGTTTCGTTCACTATCAGCTCAGTTAATTAGAGATATTCCACTTGTACCGAGGGGGGGTTTACCA